TACATTTAACATGTAAACCAAGAGAGGTTGTCAATTTAAAGTTTCTATTTGTTTACTGGCAATCTTGTAAGTTGGAATTAAAGGCGGAATTAGGAATCAAAATTTATTTAGAAAAGTAGTTTCATTGTTTTGATACATAACCGACCAGTGTTAATATATAAATTCCTACCTTGGTTAAAGTGTTATATTTATTTAGGGATGAGATACTTGAGGAAAGACGATTAAAAGAACTTAAAATTAGAGATGACAAAATTCAACAAATTCACGAGTAAGGATTATAAATTTAAAGATTTCCTTCACATTTGAACAGTGGCATGACCAGGAACACAATACACCGTGCTTTTTATACAATTAATTACTTCCCGGTATAAAATGTTCCTTGGTGATCTGAAAAACCTTCAATGATTGCGTTTAAATCGGATATGCCACTGTTAAAAGAAAATGTTGGTAAATTTAAAATGTTTTCGGTTATGTTTCGATATTGTTAGCAAAAAGCTGTGATGCATGCAATAATATGTCCTTTGCCTTGACTATCAAGTCGTCTCTCCTTTTAATGGGAAAGAATTTCTTAAAGGTCCTTTTTAAAAAAAATGGCTGATCACTCCCTTTTAGACGAAGAGCTGCAATGATAATCCAACGAGCTTGGCGACAACAAAAAGCTCTCCAGATGCAGTCTAGAAAGAAGAAGAATAAGAAGAAGAAATAAAAAAAAAATTGAGGAAAAATTTGTATTGTATTTGTTTTGCCAATAAATGTGGATTATCGAGTTTCTAAAATATCTAAGTTCGAACTAGGGTTTCCAGCAAAAAAAGATAAATTATCCTACATCTAATTCGATGTCGAACCAATTCCACGGGCAACGCCTTGTACTTCAGCTAGTTTGTAATAAAAAGAAAGATTGCAAAACGGCGGTGCAATGAATAAAGTAAATTAAATCAAACTTTATAATATAAAACAAAAAATGGTTTTTTACAACCTCCAAACTCAAGCCTTCGTGGCTTGGCATTTAAAAATAATTGTTTTACTCGCTATCCCTGACAGCGCCCATCCGATTAGGAAGAATGTGCATTATAAATAGATTTTCCATTCGGACTTCTGTCATGGTGGCTCTGGTTCACGCATACAATCTTCTTACAGTGCACTGAATGAACAGCAAACTATTTTTTCATGTGCTTTACTCTTGAGTTTAAGATTTGAAAAGTGTGAAACTCTAAGATCTAGGGTGGGGGGGGCACTGCCCCCTAACCCCCCCCCCCCTGTAAAAGCTCTTGTACATGTCAATAAATGAAGAGTGCAATGAGAGCTCTTTTGCGAAAATTCGTTTAAAGTTGAACTTAAATTATCCTACATCTAGTTGAACTTGAATTGTCCTACATCTAGTTGAAATTGAATTATCCTACATCTAGTTGAACTTGAATTATCCTACATCTAGTTGAACTTGAATTATCCTACATCTAGTTGAACTTGAATTATCCTACATCTAGTTAAAATTGAATTATCCTACATCTAGTTGAACTTGAATTATCCTACATCTAGTTGAACTTGAATTATCCTACATCTAGTTGAAATTGAATTATCCTACATCTAGTTGAACTTGCATTATCCTACATCTAGTTGAAATTGAATTATCCTACATCTAGTTCGATATATATAGTACATGTACAGTACAGTACAGTGTCCTATACATCTAGTTCGATGTCGAACCTCCTCTGAACGTCGGACACAGTCGTACAATTTAATTTTAAATGTTTTTAGAAAATTCAAAAACAGTGAAAACCATAAAACTGTGAAATTGGAGGACGCCATCCATTCCATCTTGTTAAAGTTTGATGTGGCTCTAATAAAAGGAATAGTTTTGCCAATAGCGTGAAAATAATCAAGTGGAATGGGATTGTGTACACAGAACAATTTCTGTGTTCCATGTTCATTGAACTATTTAAAACCATAACTTGAGCCTAACTCTCGTCTTCTTATTTCAAAATTGTGTTGGTCTCATTGTAATCAATGTTTTCATCGAACAATTAAAGCAAACTTTGAATTGTATGAATTTAATCCTAAAGTGCTTTTTCCAAATATATGAAACTTTAAGGTTTGAATAAATTGAATACTGAATATAAAATTGAGTTTTAATTGTTATCAAGCGCTGTTAAGATGTAATATCTTACTTTTATAAAAATATTTCTTACATAGTAATTCATTTCTTACATGCTCCCTTAATTATGCGATATAAAGCAATATTTATTAATACTTATTTTAACTCAAACTCTTAACTAAATGAATATAGAAAAAATATGCCAGTTTAAGAAAGTTTTAGATAGATATTTGTAATCATCCAGAACAAAAAGTTTTATCAAAATTAAACTTTTTTAGGTTTATTGGACGTTTTCAAAAAAATGCAAAAAAAATCATTTCTGACACCCCTAGGCTTAGTACGTCAATATAATTCACCAAAACCATACTGCAGTCCTTCAATTATCATACAGGGAAATTTTCATCTTTCTAAACACCCCAACGAAAGATTTGACAGGTTCTTTTATAAAAAATTAAAAAATTTTCGACATAGTGTCATAAGACTATATAAAGTGGTATATACAACTTTAAACATTTCTTACATATATTTTGAGAAGAAAATTTGAATTTCATTTCATTTCATCTTTTATAATCTTTGATTTAAGCAATACCTTTTTTGAAGTTCAAATTAAATCTAGACAATGTCTCATGTCTGCATGCAGAGGCTCATGGCGTCCGGGGGTTCCCTCTATCGGTGGGAGGTTCTCATAGACTAATGCCAGAGCAGACATCAACTACGTTCTTTACAAGTATATATTGATTTCGGATGAAAGGGACTGTAGACGTATTTTGAGTGGCTCTCTGTTTATAGAGTGATAAGTCTCATTCATGACGGTACCCCTAAAACCTTTGTTAGATCAAGTATGAATTGAAAACTTTTCAAGTTGGAAAACTACTAAATGTTTCACATTATTGATAAGATATTGTGAATCAGACATGGTCTTTTTTTAAATTGAGGGACAGGTTCACTCAAAAGCTATGCGATTTTGCAATGTATTCCGGAGAAATATTTAATCCTGAAACTCATTCTTTCCAACTCCTAATCCTTTGGAACCTGATGGTTTAAACTTTTATATTTGCTCTTAAAAGGTTTATAGTTTGATATATCAAACATCACTTTCACGTGGCCTGGATATAGAGATTAGACAAATAGTATTTGTTCCAAATGAATTAAGCTCCTTTAGTTCAGTTCTTAATAAAGTTACACAATTAATAAGAAATTTCTATTCCCATTGAATTAGTCATCCATCTAAAGAAAGTCATAAACATTTTAAAACGGCATCTTAGGCTTTAATTTGATAATATATGTTTGAGTTACTTTTTCTTCCTTGTGAAGCATAAACCAGAGTTTTCAGTGTTTAAAGAATCTCATGACAATATTTTTGTGTTTTGTAAACAGCTTTAAAAATTGTGCTAAACATTTTCATGACCGATCCGACTTTGAAGTGTCGCAGCTTCTTAGCCTTTAAATCCATTTTGATAAATCACAAGTACTTATATTTACTTTTTGACTTAAAAAATGTGTAACCTCCTAATTTCAATCAAAGTTTGTCACAAAAAAATGAGTGCAGTCGCAGGTTACCATGTTTCACTTTCAGAAAAAATTGCAATTGCTCGGTATTTTTTCAGGTTTAGAGACAAGTCCCTGAGTGCAAAAATCAGTTTTATGAAACCCTTCAAAATTGGACAAAAAATTGAAGAAGAAAAAACTTCACATTTCGTGTATTTGAAATAAAAGATACTTGTGAGGTGAGACCCCCAGCAAGTATTTTTTTATTCTGAATTATTGTTTTTCTAATTTTTTAAAATTATTATTTGACATAATAAAGATCCGACCTTGAAATAACCCATTTATATGAATCAAACACAAAATTTTTGCATTTGAAAATTGGAGGAAGAAGATGAATGAAATTCCTATTAAAAATAACAAGTATTTATAGGATATATAGGATATGGCATGATAAAAGGATCCTAAAAGAGTTAACTCTTTTTTTAAATTTTAAGCATAAACTTAATTTTTTTTTATAAATTCGATTTTTTTATTAGATTATAGTTAAAACTTTCAGAAACCAAGCTGAAATTGTAATCTCATTTTTGTTTGTTTTATGTTGACTGTGAATTATTCAGTAAAAAGTTTCATGTAAACTTCATTGTGAAGGTGGGAATATAACAATGGTTTTAAAAACTAGATCTAAATGAAAATTGATTTATTTATTAAAAAACATAGTTTAACCTTACGCTTCAAATTGTGAATTTTTAAAAATTCTTTTTTTCATCAATATATTCAATAATTAATACGACCAACCAGTGGCGGCCATAAGGGGGGTTATTGGGGTTATTTACCCCACCCCCCCTACAGAATCCTTATGTCCGCCCCTGGACCAAACATGGAACTAGGGCTGGTTTTAAATCGTTCCATTAAGTTCCAGAACGAGGGCTTTCAGCTAAATCGTTCCGTTCTTGTTCCTCCTTTTTTTTTATCGTTCCGTTCTCGTTCCGTTCCGTCCCTTTCTGTTCCGTTCTGAGTAGAAGAAAGGTTTTCCCGTTCCGTTCCGTTCTAAGTTGAAAAACGGTTGCATCCCTCTTGTTCTGTTCTTAATCAAGAACGTTTCCATTCCCCGTTCCGTTCTTAGAAACGAACAATTCCATCCAAGACAAAAGTTTTATAGAATGCGTTAACAATTTTAATCGTTCTTTTCAAGCAATTTCCGTTCTGTTCCGTTCCGTTCTTTTACTAATCATTCCAATATTTTTTAGAACGCGTTCTGTTTGTTTTTTTAGAACGATGGGATCGTTCTTGATCGTTCCGTTCGTTCTCTTGAAAGAACTAACATTCCACCAGGAACGCGTCCAGCCCTACATGGAACAAAAACTTGCAAAAGCATTTTTTTTACAAATATCAAAATGTGACTGTTATTTATTGATTTAAATTATTTAATCTTTATTAATAACGATTTAATATAGGGGTGCCACAGCAAGTTGTTTATTTTGATCCAGCGCTGCTAATATGTTTAAATATCTGATTGTAGGTTCTACGTGGCCGTTTTGGGGAATCATCTTCCTCCGTAGTCTTCTCGATTTTTGTTGACGCTAAAAAAGAGAAATCAAAGCTTTATAAATAGAAATTCTGCAAAAATACACAAAAAAGTTGTTTGAGAGTATATTTTCAAATAGGTTTAAATAACAACCATGACTAAAAATTATTTATAATATAGCTTGAAAATTATATTTGAAGAAAAATTATACTGTAGAATGATAAAATGAGTTTATCTCATGTCAAAAGTTCCAAAATCTGTCTGCATACCCTGATCTCGGAGTTTATCCGAGTCTACTGTGCCCCTTGTTGTTCTGAGCGCACCCTCCTCGTCGTCTTCATTCTCTTTCTCCGCGCACGGGTCACAGCAGCACATGTTGCAACAAAGACGACCAAACCTGTGGAAATCAATTAATTAACAACATATTTGTTGTTTATATTTGGAATCAAAAGTGCACTTAATTGGAATGACGGACGTTATTTAATGTGATTTCTGATCAACAAATAATGATAATATTGTAGTTTATTATTCAAGACACCCAACATTAAATGAACATCAACTTGACATCTTTTTAGAGTGTAGTAACATCATTTTGACATCACAAAATTTTGCAAAAAAATAATTTGATGTCCACTGTCCAACTGTCGATCCTTGTTTTTGCTTAAAAATCCACAAGTCTTTCGATAAATAATCCTTAAATGGAAATTTTAGTTAAAAAAAAGTTAAAGCAAGAATAATTTCATAACCATTATTTGCATAAAGATTGAAAAGGAGATGTTGGCTGCTGAATCAGAAATAACTATGAATTTGCATTCATAAAGTACATCAACATTGACTGGCCTATATAATCAGATCGAGGAAAAAATTTAAAATTCTTTTTTCGACAACTTTTCCAAAAAGACAATTATATGACAAAATTTTCTTCTTACCATAACCGTACGTTAACGCACAATTATTTCTTCAAATAGGTAAATAAAAGGAAGTAAAATTTGTTTGTGATCTTACACTAGAAATATGAGAATGAGAAGAGCCAGCACAAATCCAGTAAATATTGAGACTATGCTCAGGTTATACAGATGGATGTTGCAGTCAAATACCTCGTCCTAAACATATATATATTAGATTTCATCCTAAAAGTAGTTGTATATCAAAAAGCACTAATAACACACTAAAAGTTACGAATGTATCGAAGAAATATATGCTTAGTAATTTGAAGGGAAGACAACATTTAAAAAGAAATCACTTTTCTTGCGTTTTAACCAAAGACAATAGAATATATATATATAAATTCTATTCTCTATGGTTTTAACCCCTTGAAAAAAAAATTTAGAATGATATGCGCATTTAATCAAGTATTTGTTTTAATATTGGTTTTGATGTCTAATATTTTTTGTTAATATGGTTTAACCCTAAACAACCTGTGGGAGGGTGGCGTTTGGCGCCCCCCCCCCTTGTAGTATTTTGTCACTATCACCGTGAAATTGTGTGACTTTCAACGAATAGTAATTTAAAGGATTTTTGGTTAAAAAATATTTTTTTTTATTTATAGAGTAGATTCAGACCCCCAGCCTTTATAGGGTTAAACACTGGGGACCCGACAGTGGTATTCATAAAAGTTTCCGCACTTTTTCAAGTAGAATTAACAACCCGCGAAAAAACAACATATTTTTCCAGAATAATGGAACAATGCATTAATAGATATTTTACTCACTCTAACTAAATGATTAAAAAGAACCCCAAAAAAAGTGCATGAGAAGTAATAATAAAATAAAATATTTCACGAGGACAGTCCACAACTCATCTGATCTACTGGCGCCTGAACCTATGCATATAAATCACAACAATTATCACCTGATCTACTGGACCTTTAGATACGAATGACGAAAAATCACCTGATCTACTGGTTCCTGGCCCGACAAATCTTCAATTCCCTTCGTAATTTTGTCTCCTACATCCCCTAATCCCTGAAATAAACACTTGTGTTCGTCAAGTTTATATATATCTGACATTGACGACATACAAAGTTTGATTCCAAAAATTCATAAAGTTGTTTAAGTTGTTCCTTCGAAATAACATTTATCTTGTAAGTTCTTATTTGAAATGTTTCATTAAAAAACATGTAAAATCTGTGTAAAAAAAAGCTCGTGTTAACACTATCTAAGAGGAATAATACCAAAAATTAAAGCACATGGGTTTGTTTACAATTCTCCCTGAAACTGTAGTGCACTTTCAATGTGCACACAGTTTTGGCGGATTCGTTATTTTACCTGCTCAATTCTGTAGAATGGATTGTTTGGAATATTGTTGAGAACGTAAACCAATCCAACCAGAGACCAAACTGAAAAGAAAAACGTGTGTATAGTAGTACTTTCAACCTCCTTGCAAAGAAGGGAATGTCAGATTTACAACGGTACCCCTTCAACCTTTGACTAATCATCGAGGAAAGAGAACTCCGTTTATTTATCTCTAAATTATTGTTCAAATTGCCGAGACTCTATAGTATGCGTGTAGGTTTAAAGGGTACTGTTAGGAATCTGACACGCTAAAAAATGGAGGTTCACTTGAGGGGTTTTAAAAATCGTGTAGTGAGGGGAAGGGGAGTTAAGAAATCGTGTGTTGAGGGGGAGGATGGTCTATGAGAAATCGTGCGGTATTGGGGAGGAGTGCATAGAAATCGTGTTGTTAAAGGGAGGGGACTTGTTGCGACGGTTACGAGAATAATGTCGAATATTATGAGAAATGAAAACTCTACAATTCTTCCTCCGACCCTCAAATATTTATTAAGTTAAAATGTATTTGTGATTATATTGTAATATATTTTTTAATAAATAATAATAATAACCAATATTGATATAACAGGGCTTATCTTAGGTTAAACAATATTGAAATGTATTTACGTAATATATGCATTTTTATTCATACGTTTAGTTAACTTTATCTTCAGATGGTTTGAATATTAATAATCTATTAATAGTAGATAAGCAATACAAAATACGCACAAAATAACAAAGGAATTCAGTCTTTGACACAAGCTTAAATTGTTTAATCCATATATCCTTGCAACCTGATGGTAATAATCCTTTGATATTTAACTTTAGACTATTCGACCTTATAGAACTCAAGTTTTAAAATATCAAAGGTGTAATACATTAGGACGTATCAATATACAGGGATTAGAAAAAAAGAGTTTGAGACAAAGACTTAAATTCCTTTTACCAAATAAAACATATCTGCAATTTAATCGGTTATTTTTTTTTACTTATTTTAAGTTTAAAAAGAAATGCGTAATAATTACTGAATGTACTATTTGAAAGGATATGTTATAATTAAAAAAAACATAAAATCTTACTTGCAGCAGTCTTGATTCCTTGTACAATCCTCACAGCAAGTACAAAGCTAAACAATCAAGGACATTAAATACTTTTAAATAATTTTTTTTCGTGTTTTAAATTTGTTGCTTTTATTTTATTTCAGTGTATAACATGATTTATGAATGATGATATCTTTGAAAAAAATATATATTTGAAGACGACTTTTAAAAACCAAGGCAAGTAATACTTTTTATCTATTTTAAAGGAATTGTAAGCGTAATTTCAACTGACCCTCCATGGAAGTTTAGCAATGTCCGATTCAGAATGGTACCGTTGTCACCCTTTTCTGATTAATATTATGTACGTTCTTGTCGTTTTTCTAGGTTGAAAGTGGAAACCTAAAAAATCATACTTGAAAGCTTTTAAAATTACCAATTATGAATCATGCATTGCCATCTTTTAATGGAGGGTAACTTGAAATTGCGCTTTTATATTCTCTTTGAGAATGCTTTTATATATACGTTTAATTTGAAATGCAAGGTCGTCTTTCTTATGTTTAAAATGTGTAATATACCCGTTCTAGTATAGTTCGAGCAACAATACAACCAACCAGCACAGCTCCACCTGAAATGGTTTTTAAAAGGTTTTTCTTTTTCTTAATCTACATTACATATAAACTTTGCATGTCTATCTTTCTGTTTGTTTGTGTTAATAAACGTCAAAACGGCTGAACCAATCGGGCCCAAATTTTGTGTTGGACCTTACATGATCCTAGGGAAGGTTTAAGGATTTAAAAAAAGTTGTCTTCGAAAAATTTTGATTCCCATAAAATTTAAAAATTCACAAGACGAAATTGGTAATGCGCAATTTTTTTGTTTCATCGAAGAGAAACTTCTGAAAGATTGAGCAACAACTAAAATTTGAAAAAGAATATTGGCGCGAAGCACCCTTGCTTGTATCCAATAAACATTAAAGTCTAAATTGACTGATCGGTCCTTATTTCTTATGGCGAAACGAATTTAAAAAGAAGACTACTTTCCAAAATGTTGATTAAAAATGTGGGAATCCACCTTAAAGAAAATCCGCAAAATTTGTAATTGTTGTTTTTGCTTCAATATTTAAGCGAAAGGTAAGGAGATAAATATTTTAAATAGTAAAAGAGAGGTGCGAAGCGCACAGTTTTAAAGCATTACCAATTAGAACGTAGAGAGGTAGACGATCAGCTGACAAGCATCCATTTTCTATCCCATCCTGTGATATCAGACAAAACCATGTATTTAGATGATAAAATATATTATTAATGTTCATTAGAAATTCAAATGTCCATTGAGTAAAATAAGTAAACGACACTTTAAAAGAGATTCTTGGAAAAATATTATTATTTTGCTATATATCAAAGTCGTAAATATGTTGAATCAATATATCTTGAAGACCTGAATTTTCAATTGTAAGGAGAGATGAGCTGTAAAACTGTGGAAGTTTCAATAAAGTTTATTTTTATTTTTACAAACTTTAAGTTTAAAAATTAGAGGGATATATTAAAAAACATTCATACCCTAAACCAATATTTATTTGAGAATTTAAATTTAATTTCTGTGAACATGAAATATAAATTAAAAAAATCAAAACATAAAAAAATCTGAACTTATAAGTAGAAGAAGGTTCGACACACTTTGAAACGGTTTACAGCATCACATCAAGAATATAATTTACAAAGACGATGTCAAAGTCTATTCCCATGTTTGCACCATAAATATTTGGATTGTGCCTGGGGTAGGTTGAGAGCTCCAAAAATGATCATCACGGTACCCAGAATCAGAAGAGGAAGTTTGAAGACGACCTCCAGTAATATTATAGTTTTATGCTTTAGCGTCATCTAGAAAACAATTGGATTAAAAAGGGAGAGGGGGCAGATATAATGGAAAAAAAATCGAAATTGTGATTTTAAATTAACCCTCTATTAGGAAAGCGGAAAATCCGATTCACAACTGTACCCTTTACTCATTTTCCGATCATGGATGATCCATGTTACCCACATAAAAGTTAAGTCTATGAAGACGACTTGACACTCTTGAAATATGACGATCTCAAGGTTAATTTAAGTTTTGCTGTAAATGTAGTCTTTTCATGATTTGGAAGAGAAAGAAACAATAAGTTTACCGTTGCATGTAATCACACATATAAGGAAAAAAGCAGCATAGATTATTTAAGTCATCTCATTCTTTGCGGATAACCCGCTATTTCCTTGTCTTCAATACAGAACATATTTCAAAGTGTGGTTTGTGTTGCGGATTAATGCATGCTGCAGAGATAACAACGGAAATAGTCAGAGTTCGTTTTAATATAAAAAAGACAATATTTTTCAGTTTTTGTTTTCAGATGAAGGTACCATTATTAAAGGCAACGCTGAAAACCTGAAAAAAACGTTACTTGAATTAAAAGGTCATGTAAGACCAAATGTATTCTACATGTCTTCAAAGAGACCTGAGGCCGAATTTAATGAATTTGAGCCGCGGCTCAAATATAGTTGGTTCCACTTAAAATTGTATTCAGTGTTTCAAGATTTAAGCCGGCGATCAATTGAAACCGGTTTTTTGTGGATTTAAGACGCGGCTCAAATTCATTAAATTCGGGCTCTGTTTCCATAAATCTTTACTGAGATATTTTTCTAGGATTAATCATCACACGATCCATGCAGCAATGAATAATGCGAATCATTTTTTTAAACTGGCTCAACCTTTAAAGAGTCATCATAGCACCTTCACTTTAAACTAAACAGGAGGCAAAGGTCAAATTCAAATTCTGTTGCTCCTCTTGTTCAGATTTCACGCAAAAATGAAAGAAAAGCAAAGGAATTGAGTTTTTGCTACAAACTCAAATTTTAAAATCACTATATCTTGGCAACCTGATGGTGTGAACCTTTGATATTTCAAACTTAGATTTTTTAATCTTAAAGAATTTAATTATCTAAGGTCTACGACATTGGGTTAGAAAGATATTGGGATTGGAAAATAAAAGATTGTGGCAAAAACTCAATTCCTTTATTTGCTAACATATTATAAATACAAAACATATTGTTTTTCTCAATACCTCTTCTATAAAAAGCGTTATGATAAAAAGCATATAAGATATCATTTTTATGTGTATTTTACTTTAATTTGACGTGCCTTATATTAACCTTACAAAATCACTTATATATGTTGATTATAGGTTATTTCTAACTTAAGTTTAAAAAATGCAAATCCTAATATATTTTTGCGTGAAAGCCACACAACTTATAAATAAACTGGATTAGAATGTATTATCTTACCTTGATTAAAGCTTCTATAGATTCTTCTAACCTTAGTTTATAAGTTACAACTGTTGCAAAAGAAAACTAGGGGATAGTGCACCAATGTTTGTTTTTGAAAAAAAATCATAAATTAGTAAATGAAATACTATTTATACTAAATTTTGTTATCTGTAATTGAAACAATTACATCTAACAATAATTATTTCAAAACAAATCACTAAACTATTTTCTAAATGTTTAAAGTTTTCAGCAACCTTACTTCGGAGTAAAGATTATATCCAACCTTACTCCGGACTAGATATTACATCCAACCTTACTCCGGAGTAAATATATTACATCAAACCTAACTCCGGAGTAAATATTACATCAAACCTTACTCCGGAGTAAATATTACATCCAACCTTACTCTGGAGTAAATATTACATCCAACCTTACTCCGGAGTAAATATTACATCCAACCTTACTCCAGAGTAAACTAATTCATGTCCCTAGAATTTCTAAACCAACTTTTCTAGGCCAGCTCATAACAAAAAATTTAACTTTAAACTTAAGTGGTTAGGGTGATAGGGAGGTTTTTAAAAAAAGTATTAACATGTGACCAGGTGCGTAAGAGAGCATTTGTGCCCCCCCCCCCTCCCCTTGGCAACATTGTGCCTTCCCTTAAAACCCCTTTTTGAAAAAATGTATACCTTTTTTAAATAGGTAAACTGTTCTAATTCTAATTCATGAATTAGAATTGATATTATGTCTGCAGTCACTTTAAACCTCTTCATTAAATCTATATTTATTTAACTGCTTTGTAGCCCCCCCCCCCATAGGTGCCTCCCTTCAGGGGGGGTGGCACGCGCAGGATCCCCTGCATGTGACCCATAATATTAGATCCATTTTTCAAGGGCTTTTCAAATAAACATGTTGTGTGTCGGTAGATTAATTTATTAAAAAGTTATGATGGACTGTTTTTATTTTTTGACGTAAAATTGTAAAATTTCTTAACAATATGCAGTTAAAAAGTAAAGAATTTTGACCAAATTTCTCCTCATAGACTTTTTATTTCTAATTGCAGCTCTGTATCCATTAAAACTATTTACAAACTAATCTGCAAAAATTATCGAAAAAAATGTCACATGTATGCATTCTTTATTTTCCAACTCTCTTTCTCTCTTTAAATTAAAAAATCATGAAATTCTATCGATCGATTACTCTATATACTCTACATACTGATCGATTACTCTATATACAAGATGTCCGAGTTGTCTACATCTGAGGGGAAATTATGATAAAAACTTGAACTCTACAGCTGTCTTTCTCTATTAATTAGTCTTTAAAAAACAATCTAGATTGAAACTATTTCTCTGATGTGAATCCATGTTTAAGCACTGTGCAGTGCGCATTATCAAGAAAACCAAGGAATATCAGTGGGATTCCTAGTCCGCGAATAACGGGTAGTCCCGAATCAAGGTGGAGACTGGAGGTAGTGTAGGGGATCGGGGGGGGGGGGCGTTAATTCTTTTTAAAATAAATCAAAGCCTGGATAAGCATCGTTTTCTGGTCATTTCAAGTTTCCCTGATAACTAAATTATTTTACAATTATATGAAAAAATAAATAGAACACTGTGTGATTGGAAATATATATTTAACAATTTCTGATTTTTAAGTTACGTATAAAAAAGAACATATGTTCTTCAGATTAAATGTTTTAGGTTCATTTCATATTCTGATCTTTAGTATATAAGTTCACATTTGGTCAAATCTTAATCATAATAAAACAGAAGATCTTCTCCTGTCAGAACTCAAATTTTATGATGAATGGGGGGGGGGGGGATATGGTCTCTACCCCCTTTTTCGGTTTTTGTAAATACAAATCCCAATAAATGAATTATGAAAAGAAGAATAATTATAATATTAATTTTAAAGTATTTAAAAATTATTCTGAACTCTATTCCGATTGGGCTTTTTTGTCTATTATAAAGAAAGAAAATATATACCTCTATCTTTAATGGTTTTTGGGTTCAAGGGAGGATTCTAAAAAATTCAAAAAGGACGTCAGAAAAAAATGTTCAAAAGTAAATTTCCGAAAAAAAATATTATTTCGTATCTTGCTTTTTTGCAAAATTTTGTAATCTTTAAAATATCGTGAAAAGAAAACAAAATATTATTTCGGAAAATTGCAAAATTTTGGGCAAAAATATTTTTTCGCGAAATGATTTTCCTATTTTGCTGGAAACCCTAGTATCTTTCTTTTTTAAAATATTTAAGATATTTTGAATTTAAAGAAGGTCTTCATGAATATGAAATGTGTTTGCGTAATATTTGTAGGCTATGTTTGTCTTGTGAGTTGTGTTGTGACATTATCCAATCTAGCTGAAGTGCCCGGCGTTGCACGTGGAAGTTTTAAAAATCGATTAAAAATAAACAAATTTAGATTTCTGAAGAAAAAAAAATAACATAAAATAATCGATTTTTGGAAAAAATTTGATTTCAAAAAAATATCAAACTTACTTTTTAAGTTGAATGTTATCACCGGGTTCCCTCAAAAAATGTCAGCCCATTCGTTCCAGCTATCTGGCCAGCTGTAGCTAACATACAAACAAATAATTCAAGATTTTAGAATACTAAAACAATTTTCAAGATTTTAGAACAATGAAATCAATTTTCAAGATTTCAGAACAATGAAAATAATTTTCAAGATATTAGATCAATAAAAACAATTTTCAAGATTTTAGAACAATGAAAACAATCTTCAAGATTTTAGAATACTAAAACAATTTTCAAGATTTTAGAACAATGAAATCGATTTTCAAGATTTCAGAACAATGAAAACAATTTTCAAGATTTTAAAACAATGAAAACAATTTTCAAGATTTTAGAATAATGAAAACAATCTTCAAGATTTTAGAATAATAAAACAATTATCAAGATTTTAGAACAATGAAATAAATTTTCAAGATTTCAGAACAATGAAAACAATTTTCAAGATTTTAGAACAATGAAAAAAATGTTCAAGATTTTAGAACAATGAAATCAATTTTCAAGATTTCAGAACAATAACAACAATTTTCAAGATTTCAGAACAATGAAAACAATTTTCAAGATTTTAGAACAATGAAAACAATTTTCAAGATTTTAGAACAATGAAACCAATTTTCAAGATTTTAGAACAATGAAAACAATTTTCAAGATTTCAGAACAATGAAATCAATTTTCAAGATAAATGAACACGATATCCATCCCTAGTTTTTCTCTGGAAACTTAAATACAGGGTTCATCGTTTTTAAAAATGATCGAAAAAAAATAGTTTTTTGTTTCGTTCATTTTTTTTTCTAAAAACGAGCCTCAATCGTTTAAAAAAAATTGTTTTTGAAAACGAACCAATATTTTTGATATTTCAAAAAACGAAAAATGATCTTTTTTAAAACAAAAAAACGATCATTTTTCAAACGTTCAAAGATCGTTTAAAAAAATAATTCTGTTAATATATCTTTGTACGTCGAAATATTCTAATTAAAACAGAATTTTTGTCGACACAAAGGTATAAAAGAAAATTGGCTACCATCTGATGTTGCAGAAATTGACTCTGTAAGTGATCGAGAAAAGTAATTTGTTTATTTTTCTTATAAAATGTGAGTTTAGGTTATAAGTAGTAATTAACCATGTTTTTAGTTTTTATTTGTGAAATCTTACCACCCTAGCCCAAAGATGCTCTTGTTGTGAAATATGACAATTATAAAATCTCTCCCTTCATACAATTCCCCACACCCCTAACACACTCTATTACCCCCCCCCCCTCTCCTTCTACTCAAATACTCTCCTCCCTCCTAAAATCTCTCCCTTCATAAAATTCCCCACACCCCTAACACACTCTATTACCCCCCCCCTTCTCCTTTTTTTTTTAAAGGATTGACTAGTTCGCCTTTGTGAGGAACTGGGTGCTGGCTGGCATAGAAGGGCAGGGTATGCTCCTGATTTTTTAACGATCGATTCTTTATTAGAGATGGGCGCATTTGGCTTTTTTAATTTAGTTTGTTCATTGTTCATGAATAACCCATTTTGTTCGTATTTTTTCAATACTCCAATAAAAATTGGTTTTGTTTGTTCTCAAAAATTGTCGTTCATTAATTAAATCTATTTTGTTCGTTATCTCACCGAACAATCCTTCTGTAAACCCGTTTATTCAGTAAAATCGTTCATTTAGTAAATTCGTTCATTCAATGAAATCGTTCTTTCAGTAAAAAAACTGTTGTTTTCAAAAAGTTGTTTGTAAAAATCGTTTATTTAGTAAAAAAATATTGTTTTTCTTAACACAAAATTTGTTTGTTCAGTAAAAAAACAGTGTTTTCTTTCATGCTTGTTTGAACAAACAAATATAACTTGTTCATGAACGATCAAGTTCATGAACAATTTTAAAACGTTTGTTTTTCATTTCTATGAACAATCCAAGACATTTACCCATGGTTCATTATGTTTCTGAAGGACACCATCGTTTACAAAAATTTGGTTGGTTGACATAAAAGATGCCAATCGTTATAGCTGGATCACTTGTTCCACGTTTGTTACTTGCAAAATTGTTTTTTTATCTGTTTTTAAAATTAATTTTTAAAATTTTTTATGAATTATACACCAACTTAAGCTTAATATTCACGTCGTTAACAATGGTCGATTGTCAAACATAATTGATCTTTATGCTATAATGACAGGATTTAAAGCCTGTTTAGTAGGTTTAGAGGCAGGGATCATGCCGACAGGCCCAACGAAAATGTATTGAATTTTCTTTTAAAAAAACAAAATCCTAATATTTTTCCTAAAATTTATTTTCCTGCATATTAAACAGTAAACTCTTGTAACAAGGTATGTTTGAATGTTCAAGTTGTGTCTCTTATTTTCCCATTTTGCAAACTTTAAACTGTTTAATTTCAAATTCACAGAGGGATATCTATCAACATATACAGAAACACGAAAATAAGCGAAAAAAAGTGATTAAATTTAATTTACACAAAAAATTCAATTGGCATTTTATCTTCTACTAGAAGGTTTTAGTGGCAGGGAATCATGAATATAAATAAATAAATATTATAGATTCCGTATA